CTCCATATGAGGCCCTGGCTAGGCTGAGCTTATGTCCGTTCATAGCCCAGGAAGCTGAGTGTGGTGACCTGCTGGTGTTGGACCGTTTAGCTTGTGTGCTCCCTTGTTGTCCCCGTTTTTTTCCCTTTTATTTGTTCCCGTTTATTTGTTCCCTTCACCTTTGTTTTGTCTCATTTTTTGTTTTTTGTTAGTTTGAGATTTACTCAAAATAGCTGTTAGCTATTATAATAACATCAGAGTATATCAGAGATGTCTGATGAGTGGTCAGACATCCCTGTGGACCAGGGGCAGGACCATCTTGCCAATTATGAGCTGCTGGTAACAATCCGCGAGGGCGGCTTTGCCAAGGTGATGGTGGGACGGCACCTCCCGACAGACACAGAGGTGGCGGTCAAAGTCATTGAACAACAGCCTGATGACACACCTCTTCAAGAAGTCAGCTGTCTCGCGGCGCTGAGCCATCCTAATATCATCAGGCTCTTTGACGTTATCAGCACCACAGAGCAGCTGTTCTTGGTAATGGAGTTCATGCCGGAAGGGGACATCGAGGTCTTCCTTCAGAACAACGGCCGCATTGTCGGAGGACCAGGCCCGCCCCGTCTTCCGGCAGCTCATCTCCGTGGTCGACCACTGTCACGAGAAAGGTATCATCCACAGGGACATCAAGGCGGAGAATGTCCTCCTGGACAGCCACATGACCGCCAAACTGTCCGATTTTGGGCTGGGGACATTTTATGACGGCTCGCCACTAAGCTCTGTGTGCGGCACGCCTCCGTACTTTGCCCCCGAGCTATGTATGGAAGAAGATTACGGCCCCGGGGTCGACGTGTGGGCGTTGGGGGTCCTGCTGTATGTAATGCTGACTGACACCTTCCCTTTCCCCGGAACATCTAAGAGAGAGGTAGAGCAGCAGATCCTGGGCGGACAATACTGCATCCCTTGCTATCTGTCACCAGAGGCAATAGACCTGATACCCAAACTGCTCACCGGCATCCCTGAGGAAAGAGAAAACATCAGGGACTTCATGGGCGACCCGTGGGTGAATCTGGGGGAAGAGAAGCTGAAGCCCTATGTGGAGCCACCCAGGGGTGTCACACACCTCGACCCCTGGGTAGCCGGAGAGATGGTGAACCTTGGGTTTTCTATGGACGAGATTGAGACGGTGTTAGCCACTAGAGCATACTCCCGGGTGTCAGCGACATATCACATCTTACTAGCAAGAGCCGCCAAAACCTGTCGTTATACCACCACCCCCATGGAGCCCTTCCACCCTTCGCAGAGCCGCAGTCCCTCCCCAGCCCAGAAGTCTTCCAAGGCAGAGTCCATCCCGGAGACGAGCATGATCATGGCGCCTTCTAGGGCCTGGCCTACCTTGTCACCACCATCCAGCCCGACGAGCATTTGGAAGGCACCTTTTACGGCCTGGACCACCACCTCACCACCACACAGCCCGAAGAGCGTTTTCATGGCGCCTTCTAGGGCCTGGCGTACCTTGTCACCACAATCCAGCCCAGAGGCCGCCTCCGGACC